ATGCTGTGGAACTGCTCATTTTCCTGGCCTAAGGGAATGTTGCCAGCATTCAACTTTCAGGCTGAAAGTTTATTTTATAGCCAAGACACTTGACATTCACACAGCAATACCTGCAGCTAATGTGCGTGTCATAGATAAGAAAAATTCAAGCACAATATATAGACTAGTCCCAAAGGTGGAGGGTTTTCCCCAGTATATTTTATTAAAAACAGCAGACTTTCTTCTTTCAAACTGAATATATTTCAAAGCATTAGAATGACTGGATTAGGATGGCTTTGGTTGTAAGCAACAGAAATCCAACCTAGAACAAAGAAAGTAGTGGTTTGCCAGAAGGCTCGTGGAGTAATTCCTCCTAGAATGAAAGGAAGAAGGGAACAGTGGAGGCTACAGGAGGCAGAAGCGGGGCTGGTCTTGGGGGTGACTGACTCCAGAGACTGGAACCTGGCCAGGACTGACTCCATCTTGCCCTGCAGCTTTCCTCAGTACATTGGTTCTGTTCCTTTACAGATAAAGATGGCCTTCCTCCATAGGAAAGGTGGCCATAGGTCCCTCCAGAACAACAGTTTTCCGGATCCATTTGTTTGAAAAATCCTGAAGAAGGGCTCTGATTGGCCCATCTTTGATCACCTTCCATATCCCTCGACCAGTCATTGTGGCCAAGAAGATGGTGTCCTACCACTGGCCCAGTCTCAAGTCTGTAGAATCTACCAACCAGAAGAAGGGGAACAGGACATAGGGCCACTAGAGGATAACTTTGAGCCAGGCTGACTCCATTTGCAACTTCAAGAACAGAGAAGATTAAGAAAATAAAGTGAAACTACTGAGAATTCATCACCCCTAAATTAACAGTTTTGAAAGAGCATTCTATTCTAGTTTGTCCATTTGCATATACACTGTGATGCACAATATTGTCATAGAGCCACTTAAAAAATACATGGTTTTGAAATCTATCTGGAGAAACAGGCCTAAAAATACAGAAACAATGCTCCTCTCTTGGGGACCCTTGAGGTTTAGCCCTGCATGAAGGACTGTTCCTGTTCCTAATTTCCTTAAGAAATGAAATACAACCCATGCCTCTGGTGGTGTAGAATATCAAGTGGCATAAAATCAAAATATCACTTTAGATGTGTACACTACCCAAAGAGGGCTCTACCTAAGTGATTTCAGGTCAACGTCTGATTCCAGAATAGGCCTGCACCTCCGTTTGTTTGTTTGTTTGTTCAGCGACATATCAAGACCCTCTGTAGACCAGGACTATCGTAGGCTCCGCCGAATTGGTAGGAAACAGACAGACCAAATGCCCCCGCCTTTGTGGAATCAGCAAAACATTGTGGATGGAGGAAAAAAACCCCAGGGTAATAAGTAGGCAGATGTTCCAAATGATCAAGAAAACATTTTTTAAATAACTATTCTAATTCTTTATAGTCACTGTACCTTATAAAAATTCATAGTAAATAAAATATTTATGGCAGCCAAGTAGGCCTCAGCAAGAAACTGAAGGACTTTCAGCAAAACAAGACCTTAATAATTATTATCTTAAAATGATGGAATAAATAATCCTAATAACAAAGTCCTTTGCTTATCAATACTTTGGGTAAACAATTAGATTTTCCTAAATAATTTCTTACCCTCAAAGGACCTTGACAGTATTGGTCGACATAGGCACAGCCAGCATGTGGCCCTTATATGCTGACACCACAATTACATAAAAACCTCCACCCTCACGGGACAGAGACATTATAAACTTTTTTAAAAACTTTCATTTTTGTGAAATGAAACTGAAATTTCACATTTTCAATTTTACAGTTTTATTTTTCTCATTTGGGACTTTCTGCTTTTAACTTTATTATTCTTTTCATCCTTATGCTTCTTCTTTCTTTATTCTTGCATTCTTATATTTTCAGTTTTTCTCTTTAAAAGACTTAAAGTCTATGAATTGACCTCTGAGTAAAATTTTGGCTGAAGCACATCAGCGCTCTTCTGTTCTAAATATTCTGTAATTGTTTGCATTTCCTCCTTGGTTCCACAGTTACCTAGCTGGGTGCTTCTTCATTTCTAAGTAACTGGAATATTTGTGATTAATTTGGGATGTGGTCAGAAGACATGATGCCTTTTAATACTCTTTTCCTTGGGGTATTTACTGTTATTTTTCTTTGGGCCTTAGTATATGATCAATTTCTTAAACAGCTTGTGTATACTTTAAAAGGCGATATATTCTCTAATTATGGAGACACCAAGTTTACAATAGATTTCTACTGACTAACCCTATCACTTACCTTGTCCACTTCATCTATTAAACTGAAAGTAGGGTGAACGGTTTCCATTCTTATTTCCAGTCCTTCCCAGCTACGATTGCCTCATTCTTGTTCTTATTTTATTTCTCGTTTTCCTGGCAATTATCTTTAATTACCATATTCAGGGAGGTATCAGGTATCAGGGTTTCCAAATCGTTGCCCATATATGAATACTTTCTCTTTCTTTCCAAACTAGATGGCCTAGGGGAACACATCAGAGTCTCCAAAACTCATGTCTCCCTGGAAATTCCAACATGCTGGCTTTGGGGTCATGCCCCTCAGCCCTCAGCCAAGCATTTCTGCTGAAGGTAACGCAGTGTGCCCAGCTGGCTAACACCTATCAGCTGTATCCTTGGTGTACCTGGAACAGGTAGAAGTTTGAGAACCTTTAGAATTTAGGGTCACTGGCAGGCTGAGGTGAGTTTTCTTTCTATACGGGTAACCTGACTTTCTATTCTGAGGTACCCGACCGGGCCTGGGTCAGGGCCATCTCTGTGGCTACTGCTGGACGGCACTGGGATTGGCAGTCCCTCCAGAGCCACATGCGGTGGGGAGAGGGAGTTCTCCAAACAAACAGCAGAGCTGTTACTAGAAGGCGGGGGCAGGGGTGCCGGACAGCCAGCAACCACATGCATCCCCCACAGGCAAGCTGATGGGAAAGGGATTTCACTAAACTGGGCATGGACCCTCTGTGGGCCTCTCCTCAGGATTCTCACCGAGAGGGTCTCCATTATGTGACTAAACCTAAGGGACTGAAACAAGGTAATTTTCTCAATCTTGTGCCTCATTTCTTCTTCGAATGTATACAGATCTGTTCACTTAGCTCGGATAATGTCTACCAGTTGTATAGAACATGAATGTTATATCATATTTTTTTGCTAAAGGAATTGGATACTTTGAACTATATAAGATTATATTTGCTCATACATCCATGTTGTCACAGGGAGCAGACTTGTTATTATGCTGAGGCTGGGAGTTGCGGGGGATTTTGAATTTGGCATTCATTTAACATCTCTTGAGTGTCTCTCACTGCTATTTTCTTATTTTCACAATATGGGACATTTGTTTCACGTAAAAAAATGTATTTAAGACAATTATTTAGATGTATATGTACCTCTTGTGCCACAGACTGAGTTTAGTATTAACTGTAAGTGTTTATTTTGGAAGGCAAGTGGGTATGTACTGGGGGGGGACTACAGGGCTAACCAGAGCAGGGAGAGTGGTTTCAAACTCAGGCACTTCGTGCATACATGATCCCCACAGTTGTCCCCATGCTTGCCATTTCAAAAACAGAGTTAAAGAAAATAAAATCAAAATAGCTAAAGGAATATTCTTACAATAACAAATGGATAGAAAAAACTAGTATTAAAAAGATACCATGGCAATATAACTTAAAATAAGGAACTTCAACTAAAATCATAAATAATATCAACTAAAAAAATAAGTTCAACCAAAACAAGTATGTTCAAATAGAACCCATTATGGGCCAAGCTGCGGTTGGCTACTGCACATCTCCTGCTCTGCCGGCCCGCCCATGTGCGTGCAGAGTGCCCTGCAAGGATGCCTCGAGTCTTCGGTGGAGAGCAAAGACCACAGCCAAGGTCTATACTGAGTTTTGGCGTCTTAAACTCAGAATGTCCTGTACCATAAACCAAATGGATTCCCTAAATCTTTTCCAAACTTGTTGCTGACAAGTACATCTTTTCCCATCCTGTACTGTATAGGGGTTTCTGTTTTTAAACGAAGAACCGGGCTTTATTTTTACCCCTAACAAATGCTTTGGTTCTTTATTTCAGCCCACTGCTATCCAGAATCTGTGATAAAGGGCCTCTACTTTACCTCCACGTTTCTGACAATCTACAAATGTTACTTTCTATATCCTCCTCCAAATATCTGATAAAAATAAACAGACCAACTTTTCAAATTGTAGTTTTAAAGTAACATATACATTAGTGATCATAAGAAAATGTCCATTTTTTCAGTGTTTATAGAAAAAGAAAAATACTATATGACCCTGTTTCTCTGCTTTTTTTGGAGGCAGGGATCTTTCTGCTGGAACTGGTGAGAAGAAACTCTTCTGGAATCTCTGGGAGGGGAGGTGGCAGGGCCAGGAATGAGGGCTCTGCAAAGGGATTCCTGAGGCTGTTTAGGCCTGTCTAAAATTGCGGTGAAGGCAGAAGAGGCCCAGCAAGGAACAAGAGGCCCTGGCAGAGTCCCCGACAAGGAAGCTTCCTCCTGTCAGAACCTTTTGTTGCTGCTAATGTTGTTTTTCCTTTTAGCTACATAATAATACAAAGAATGTGGAAAAAATATTTGCTTTGCAACATCATGGCAAAAAAAATACAACTGCAGCAAAAGCTTGGTGATTTTATAGTAAAAGACAGGCTCATGCTGTCCATCTCCCAAAATAAGGAAGAGACGCAACAAGGATGATCCTGCCCCACGAGGCTCCAGAGAAAAAGTCAGTGTGTCCATCAGTACACCCTGTTGAGACTAGAGGGAAGAATAAGCAAAAACATTCCAGAAGTTTCATCAACACACAACCACCGTAGCCATAAAGAACTACACCAAATAATACAATAAAGTTGAAAAATTAGCATTTCTAAACATTTCATTTTCATTCAGATTTAATTAGCAAGTTAACAATCTATTACTCTGCGACAAAAATTCTTTTCACTAATGAAAGAAAAGGACACACAACCTGAAGACAATCCGATTTTGTTTTATTGATACTATCCCACAACCAACATTTACAGACATAATTAAATGGAGTTTATAAGACTACCATGTGGAACATTTTAAAAAGTTAATCTAAAATACTCTTAATGGAAATCATTAATTCATATGTGTTAATATAATAATTTATAATTTTTCAGCCAATATCCAAGATGGGTTATTTCATAAAAACTCTATTTTCAAGGAGATAACTCTGAGGAAATACAAAAAATTCAAAAAAATATTTCCGTATCAAGTCATAATCTTCCAGTTTTTCTGTAAAAGAAATCAATAACAATTATAGACATTCTAGCCACTGCAAATTAAATACATATTTTCTCAATTGCATGACTATTTTCTTTAATGCCATATTTAACTTTTAGCATAGAAGAGCTATTCTTCTGTCATATTTTCATGTTAGGTTTAAATATTTTTTTATGTTTAAAAAGAAATACATATCCAAATTTAAAACCAGAACCTAAATATTACTTTAAAAATAGCAACAAGGCATACGGCCACACGTTATTCCCTTGACTCTCCGTTATGGATGGGCCATGGAAGGAACAAAGTGGACAACAAAAGTGAGGAAGTCCTCTAACAGTCCTAGATGTGACTTAGTTGCTTTCATGGACATTCAGAGGACATCAGAAATCCAGCGTCCACCTCTGCATGTCCGAGGGGACGCGGGATATGTGAACTGATGGCCCTAACCTATATCTGTAACAATATTCTCAGAATAGAACTGCAAAAATGTGGGGATCATAGTGGCAGATGGGGGGGCATTATTTTCTCCATCTGCACAAATTTAAAGGTATTTCTCTCTGGTTTTAGGTGACTTGGCTTTACTACACACCCACAGAATTCAAGAACTATAGTCTTTCTTATCTTTAAAAAAGTATGGGCTGTGTTATTACACAGAGCCTATTCTCCCTTTTCCTTTGAAAGGCTATGGTTCTTCAAAATGTATATTATCATTTTTTGGACAACTAGATATTAAAATGTAAAGCATTTAATCCCTATCTAGGCATTCTGAACCATTTCAAAAATGCCAAAGATAAAATAAATCAGTGTGTCAGTGATAGCAACTTCTATATTAAAACCCTAAAACTAACTTAACCATTTTTAATGGTATTCATTTTTGCTAGAATAACACTGCTGAAGGAGCAGATAAGCATGACTTGGAAAATCGTAATGAATAAATATCATTTATTGTCTACAATTTTAAAACATTCACTTGCCAGAAAAGGTTCTGGAAATGGTAGTGGTGGACTTTTTTTTTTAAGTAAAAATTTCCCTTATACATAATAAATAGGTTTCCTGTTCAAAAAACCTATTTTTCAGATAATATAAAAGCAAATTTCAGAAGACCATGGATTGTCCCATAGTTTAAATCACAAGAGTATGATTTAAAGTGTGTGAAGGGCCATCTTTAAGTAACAGAAAATACCCCTATTCATGAACAGTTTAAGTAGCTGGTTAAAAATATACAGAAATGAGAGTAAAAGCTGGAACGATGGGGAAAAGTATATTTGCAATCAAACCACAGCAGAGAGCATTTTCACCTATGATTATTCAATGTTAACATATGCATGCATCTGTTTTATACAAATCAGATAATATGTATGCTTGATATGTTTCTATTAAATGTAAATAGACTTATAAATTTGAATTTTTTTCTGAAATCCATATTTTCTTCTGGAAGTTGCCATTTATCAAAATACAATGCACTGACGACTGTTGTTCCTTGGTTAACATACATTAATGTCAGGGACACATGAGCTTTCTCAAAACGCAGGGCTGACTTACCTATGGGGTCAGTAGTTGATCATTTTTCGAAGGGCGTCATAGCACTTCCACTTGTCTGGGATGTAGAATGGCTCAAAAATATGGGGAAACGGCGTGTCATACCCACATACTCTTGATATAGGAGCCTCTAGATTCAGGAAACATTCTTCCTGTAGAGAAGAATAGAGATGGTTAACTGCAAGAATATTTCTTTTTATCCACAGAGATGAAACATTTCAACTTAAAATACAATTGCATCCAAGGGCATTAAAATAACTGAGTTTATTGTAATGTGAAAAAAGCAGGTAATAAATAGCATGTTTGGCATGATCCCAGTTTTACTTAAAACATGTTTACATACATAGATATGAATTTTATGCCTACATACATATCTATTGTTTAAGCCAAACTGGGATTATACCAAACAAGCTGTTCTACAAGTATAAATATGAGGCATGACAAAATCATAACAAAAGTTCACAGTAAACTCTGCAGCTTAAAATTAGTAATAGTACAAGTTTTCTTGTTTCGTGTGTTTTTCAAATTTTACATACAACGAACATGTATTACTTTCATAAGAAATGCTTGTAATTACTCTACACAGCCTGACTGAACTTCCACCAGTTACTTGACTGTGTCCCGGTCTCTCTCATGGCCGGGCTCTGGTAGATGCTGTCGGTCCCCTGGCCACTCCGTCCCCAAGCCCACTGCTCTTCGCCTGACTGATGTGCACACATCTCTCAGGTACCACCCGAGGAATCACCTCCACTGGGCAGCCTTCCCTGACAGCACCTCGCCAACCCTGCGCCACCGATGAGGGAGGGGCTTCTGTCTGAACTCTCAGAGCACGAAACTCGGCACAACCCATTGTAGTAGCCCAATTATCTGTCTCCCCTGAGAGACTATGGACTCCAGGAGGCCAGAGATCTGAGTCCCCAAAAATGTAAAACGCCAAACACAGGAGAATGCTGAGGAAATTATCTTCAGGGAAAAAAAAATGTTATTCAGGTGACAAATTCAAATCTGAAAATGAAATTTTTAGAGAGTTAAAAAGATCTAAAAAGAGACAGAGGTGATTAAACTATTCTTAGGAAAATGATATAAATTTTACCATTCACAGCTATTACCTGAAATAACACCTTTGGAGTTTTATACAACCATTTTCTACACTGCTTTGCTTCACAAAGGGTTTGAGGAAGTCCACGTTTTCTTACATATTTTACTAACTGTATTTTCAAATTTTCATTTGAGCAGAAACTTTCACATGACAGAATCCTGATACCTCAAGCTCAGCCCCACTCTCTGTGCTTATTTCTTCAAGTGACAAGTGTATCAGGGCGGAAAGGGCCTGGGAACAGGACAAATTAGCTCCCACTGCCATTTACGGACCTCCTCTGCTCCCAACCACTGTGACGCATAGGATCAGACACCAAGTCAGTGGTGGTTTTTCCGGCAGCAGGAAACCTTCACTAACAACTTGAGACCGTTGCCTCCTGAAGGTTTAAAGATGCACCTAAGAAATTCCACCACTAATATGCTCAAAGCAGATGACAGACTGGTGGACTGTTTCTTGATTGCAACAAGTAATTTCAAAGGGATTTAAACTGTCAATTTGGGATTAACTCAGTTTTATTCCTTTAGTTGACATGGGCTGTTTTTCCATCTTCCCTAAATACCACACTCTTCATCAACAAACTATGCATGGACATTGCAAAATGCAGAAAATCAAGGGCAAAATAGTCCACTAAATGCCTTTGATTTTACACCTGTTATAAAATACAATGTTTTTTGTACTCAGACCCTGGAAAGCTGGCCCACAACAAAAAGATCTGCCAGTGTTTGTGAAAATCACTCCTTTCAGCATAATGACTAACATCATCAAACTAAAATTTCTTTTTCCAAATAGCAATGCCCCTAATTCCTCATTTTTTGAGAATCACTCTTTACAAGAAGACATCTGTATGTCTGCACTGGCAGTGATCCGCGAGGTCACACTGGAAATGTAAACAGCGGTCACCCTGTGAGGGCGGGAGTGGCCAGGAGGTGAGACAGGCCTCCATGTCATCCTTTACACGTATTGTTCCAGTTTTCACACAACAGTATTACTCTAGTAACTCAATGACACTGAAATAAATGAAAAGAGTAAAGTGTAGAACCATTTTCCTGTGTGAATAAAAGTTTCTATTTTATGTTACATAAATTTGCAATTTTACATGTAGCATCTCCTTAATTTGGAAACAATCACTAAGTTATGTGGAATTAATTGATTGTAAAGTACTATATATAAGTATACAAAATATTTTGTAAAAATCATGGAAGATAATTCAAGGATACATACCAGAAGACTATGATTCAATTGTATAAGGATACACCCTGACCAACTGAAACCGTTTGACGTTTTAATGTTTTGCTAACTAAAGTATATTAAAAGAGACCTAAGTTATTCCTTCCAGGGAGTCGTGTTAAAATTTCTTTTAAAGCAACTGGAAACAAGATGTTTGGTTCGAGCAGCTGTACAGTAACTTCGCACTGAACTGGTTCATATACAAATGATTTGTGTGGCTGTGTTTCTTTGGGCAACCATCACAACAAGGCATCCTTGTTCAGCCTATTTTTTTCATACAGAAGCTGTACACACACACACACACACAGAAAAAGAAATATTTGAATCTCACTGCCACCTTTGTAGATCTATGTACCAGATTAATCCTCCACAAAGTCTCTCTTTCTCTTCATTATATACCACATTATGACACCATAACCATAGCAATGATGTGCCCTGAATTTTCAAGACAATCCAGACTAATCATATTCTTCTTGTCCCTCGGCCATATAAGCACACACATTATTTTTAAAACTGTTTGATGATTTTTGATTCAGAAATAGTAATGGACATAAAACTAGGAAGAAATAATCACCGAACCCACAGGGTTGTGTGAGGATTGCAGGCCGCGTCCAGCCCAGGGGCCGAGACGGGAAACGTCAGTTTCTGGTCTCTCCCTGGAGAGCTTGTCTGGGGACTGGCTCAATCCACATGGAACAATGGCAGATGTGACTGTGAGGTTCCAAAGCAGATCCCAGTGTAACGTGTAACTAGGGGCAACCGAAGAGAACCCAGACAGGTGCCAAGAGAAACTTTTCTCCAGCTGTTTGTGATCCAGAGTTTTCACCCCGGACCCAGTGAAGGGCCTGAAAGTGAACCCTAAACCAGTCACATAGTGATGCCTACATGTGTTTTGTCATGGTGTGTGCTTTCACATAAATAATCAGGAAAAAGAGATATCCCTTCAAAAGACACTTGTGTGAAATTCTAGACTATGATATTTGAATTTACTTCTGAATATGTTTTTTTCTAACTATGAGAATCTTCTTTCTAAAATATGTTAATAATAAAGATAGTAGCCAGTACTTATGAGGTAGCAAGCATGGTGCTAAATGAGTTATATTTTATCTCATTTAATCATTTTAACAAATTTATGAGGTTGGTATTACATTCCACTTCACAGACAAGGAAACCAAGGTGAAGGAACTGGCCCAAGGTCAAACAGCCACATACGTAGCCAAGTCAAACTCAAACTCAACTCCAAAGCCCATATTCTCAGTCACTCCTCTGTAAATTCTGAGGCACTACTATTTAGGATAGCCATAACAACAACAAAAAAAATAGGAATAAAAAAGAATGGTAAAATGGAAGGCAGGCTGGGATTAAGGTTTTGTAACAGAACCTTGAGAGGCATACGGGGTTAAGATAGGTCTAAGCAGCCTCTTCCGTATGTATAAGAAAGGCAGAGGCTATGACGTGTGAAGAAGCTGTAAGCACACCCTGAGGCACAAAGGGAACACAGAGCAACATGACTGGGCCTGGGTGTCGGGAACCTCCCGGGCTACCCTAAAGGACTTAAACAAGCATAACTCCAATTGTTTACATATTAGCCATCTGGGTTGCTATGCATATTATACCCAGAAAAGGAAGGTGACAACGTGACATAACAATTCCAAATCATAAAAATCATAGACGCAGGCAAAATAAATTTCTCGTTTGCCTATTTTCTGTAACAAAACAAGCAAATTTATTAGTATCTTGCTGAAATGGCGGAGGACAGAGATCCTGGAAATTTTCCAGCAGGTAAGAGAAGGTAAGTCAAATTTAATAAAATAGGATTCATTATCGTTTTAAGATAAATAAAATATTATTGATAGGTTTTTAAAAATTAAGCATACCGCATTTATTCCTATGTTTTGATGAATGCAGTACAGGTTATATATTATATGTATGCATACGTAACGGCACATATATCAGGGCTTCCACGAGATCACGCGAGGCCTCTCGACATTTAACCCCGTGTCCCCATTAAAGCCCTAAGTACACAAGCCTGAACTCCTGTCACCACGTCACAGGCGCTGCACCACCGAGATCAGTCTCAGGCATCCTCACTGTGGCTCTGCTCACTTTCAACAAATCTTTCGTTGTTCTTATGGCAAGGCTGCATGATATAATTGATACAGCATGGAATTTGGAGTCCCATCTGAAGGGAATCTTTGTTCTACTATGATCTAACCTCTCCAAGCCTCTGTTTACTCAACAGCAAAATAGAAGCATTAAAAACTCTGCTCTGCTGTCATCCTATTGCTTTGCAACTGCTGTCAGCTTGCCTCTCCAGAGCGTGCATGAGCAGATGAAAAGTACCTGGTTTCATACCTGACACGTCGTAGTGCTCCATAATTGCTGGGTGTTTGTTGTCCTCTTAAGATTTTCTATAATAAACAAGAGTTATTTGAAATGATAGAACAAATCACCATTAAAGACAGGATTCTGGGACACAGAACAGTCAACACGGAGAAGCCATATCCCTTATAGCACAGTGCCTGAGCAGCTACCATTTACTGGACACTTACTAAGCCTTAAAAAATGTAAGAAAATACCAAAAATAAGTCAGTGCTGTGTGAGGACGGAGGGCGGAGACCACCGAGGTTATGAGGGAGCCCAGCGGCACTCAGGCCTCAAGGAAAGGCAGGGTGCGGTGCTGCCCCCTGGTGGGGAGCCGGGAGCCTTGACACTAATTGCCTGTTCCTGGGGCTGAAACGACAGATGTTAAGTGTGGCTAGAGAGAGGAGTCAAGAGCTCTGGAAATGGTCAAAAAAATCCCCGTCAAAAAGAACATAATTTCCA